CCTGGTTTACATAGGGAGTTCCAGGATAGCTGGGGCTACAGGGAGACCCTGTCTCAAGAAAAAAAAAAAAAAAAAAAAAAAAAGATAAAAACAGAGATTCTTTGGGCTGAGGTTGTAACTTGGTATAGAATATTTGCCTAGCATGTGCAGATGTGCAAGGCCCTGGGTTTGATGTCTAGCACTGACAGAAAACAAAACAAAACATCCTGAAGTAGGGAAGTAAAAAGAATTAGATAATTAGATTAAAAAACCCAAAACCAGCCAGGCGTGGTGGCGCTCGCCTTTAATCCCAGTCTTGGGAGGCAGAGGCAGGCTGATTTCTGTGAGTTCGGGGCCAGCCTGGTCTACTTAGTGAGTTCCAGGTCAACTGGGGCTACAGAGAGACCCTGTCTCAAAAAAACCAAAACCTGGGCATGGTGGCACAAATCTGTAATACCCACACAGGAGGCTAAGGCAGGAGGATCTTTGTGAGTTTGAAGCCACCCTGAGCTACATTTGTTTCTGTCTAAAAACAAAAACCTGTAGATAAAAACAGTCCTTTTGATACACAAAGGAAACTCGTGACTTTAAATTCTTTATCTTGACATAGAGTCTCATGCTATAGCCAGGCCAGCCTCGAACTCACTACTTAGCCAAGTGGCTGAGATTCCATTGCATGTACAACCATACCCAGTCTTCATGACGTTAAATACAATCTCTAAACCAATCTCTACTCTCTAAAGTCTCTAGACTTTAATTCATCTCATGCTTAACATGATAGCCTCCATCTGTTACTGCCTAGAAGTTCATCAGGTTCATTTTCTCCACCAATCAAATAATTAAAAGGCAGCAAGAATCTGAGGTGCAGCGGGTAATAAACTTTAAGTATAGGAATACACACCCATACACATACTCATACAGAGAGACTCCACAAGTAGAGAGGGAATTTAGAAACTCAAATCCAAAGCCCCTAGGGCGGCCTGAGTCTTGTAAGTGTTCTTATTGATACAGGGACAGGTTCCTCTCCCCTAATTTTGGACTGGTCAACTTAAACAAAGAAGGGAGAGCTGATAGGTCCACAGCTCCAAGATGAAATATGTCCAGGACCAGCTTTGGATTTATCTAGACTAGTCTGAACCAGTCAGCTAGAAGGAGGCCTTGCCAGTGGTAGAAAAAGCCCACCAATTCTTTTTTTTTGCAGACTCCTCTGCCCCTTCCTCTGTTACTCAAATCCAATGACCTTACCCCCCTCTTTCTTTTCTTTTTTTGTCTTTTTGAGACAGGGTCTCCCTATAGCCCCAGCTGTCCTGGAACTCACTATGTAGACCAGGCTGGACTTGAACTCACAGAGATCCGCCTGCCTCTGCCTCCCGAGTGCTGGGATTAAATGTGTGTGCCACCACACTGGGCTACCAATTCTTTTTTTTTAATATTTTATTTATTATTTTTATTTTATGTGTATGAATGTACTGCCTGCATGCATGTAAGTACACCCGTATAATGCCTTGGGTACAAGGAGGTCAGAAGAAGGCACTAGATACCCCTGGGACTGGAGCTACGGATGGTTGTTAGCTGCCATGTGGGTGCTGGGAATCGAACCCAGGTCCTCTGTAAGAGCAGTCAGTGCTCTTAACCGCCGAGCCATCTCTCCAGCCCCAGCCCACCAAGGTCTTTATCGCAAATGAAAAAGCTGGAATTTTGTCATCTTTATTGCTTATCAGTGACCCTTTTCCTGTCTGTCTGCCTGTCATGGATCTGCCTAACTCCTAGTCCCTTATATCCAGTCTATAATGCATGAGATTCTATCCCCACTGCCCTCTCGGACTATAGTTGGAACTGTCCTGGGGAAAATGACCTACAAACAAGCCTCAAACTGTGCCTTAGAGAGTTGTTAAGGAGGGTAGTCACAGAGGAGAGAAGACAGGATCCTGCCTCTCTCTTCCTCACTGGGGTTTATTCTCTGACCCCCTCCCTCCTTTCTCCTGCAGTTGGAAAGGTCTTTCAAGTTCATGAGAGAGGCTGAGGACCAGCTGAAGGCTATACCCCAGTTCTGCTTCCCTGATGCCAAGGATTGGGCCCCTGTCCAGCAGTTCACCAGGTAAGAGCTGCCATCTCTCATCCCCATCCACAGTCTGAGGCAAGAATTACATGGGGAAGCAGGGCAGTCACAGGTAGCTCAGCCCATAACTCAGTCTTACCATAAAACATCCTGCTGGGTGCCAGCCTCGAGATTTCCTCTGTAGGGTTTTGAAGCTTCCCTGAGACCAAATGCACCTCTCTAAGTTGGAATTTATGAGGCTTTCTCACAGTCTGGAGGTCTGTGTCCTTCTGAAACCTCCTGAAGATAATCTCCCTAGTCTGGGGAGAGTTGAGGAAACAGCCCCATTGTCCACCCTTATCCACACAGGAATCTGGAAGCATTCCAACACCCTCTCTAGTTGGTGCTCAGATAGGAATCTGTTCACATTTCTGCTTTAAATCCTGGTGTCGGCTGCAGGTATTTGACCTGTCAGTAGGCTTTCTGTAAGGGGATACTGTGACCCATGAAACTGGCCCAAAGTCTTAAAGACAATGCAAGCCTCACGATAGCTGTGTGGGGACAGTTCAGTGAGAGAAACACACCAGGACCAGTTCTGAGAAAGGCCCAGACCTATTCTCTCCTCAGCTGTTCCATCCCTGAGTGACATCCTACATCAGCGATGCCACCTCACCCTCCTCCTTCCCCTCAATCACAGTAGTGAATGACATCTGTACTTCCACCCTAGGATGGCTGAGGTGATAGAATTATGGGATAGTTCAAGGTGGAAAAAGCTCATTTCCTCTCAGGACATTTTATCTCTGCCTTCCCAACATTTACTTGGGTGACCTGAGTCTCACAGACAGATGGGCAAGCAGGGAAGGGAGCTTTGGGCAGCCTCACCAGGGTGCCCTCCCCTTTGCTTACTGTAACCTCACTGCTCTAGTGGGGATGTGCCTTTGCATTTGCTGTGTTTTGTAATGAGTTCGTATTTTCCCAATCACAGTGAAACATTCTCATTTGTCTTAACTGGAGAAGACGGGAGCAGGAGGTTCGGTTACTGCCGGAGACTGCTGGTTAGTACTCTCTGCCTTTCAGTCAGCAGAGCTCCCTAGAGAACCAAGTCCCTTGGGTCTCAGACTTCACCCTATGCTGCAGGAGGAGCAAGTGGGGTGGCAGGTTAACCAGGGAATTAAGAACACAGAGAAAGCTGGGCAGAGTGACATACAAAAAGGTAATCCTGGTGCTAGAAAGGCTGAGACAGGAAGACCTTGAATTCAAGGCCAGCCTGGACTACATGGCAAGATCCTTACAGACAGATAGATAGAGAAAGGTTTGGGACTCAGTGTTTATTGGTAGGTAGGAGTAATGTCTCTGTTTCCATTGGTAAGAAAATACTTTATTGCTGTTTAGTTTTGTTTGATTGTTTTGTGTATATACGCACACACAGAAATCTGTGCCATGGCTCTTGTTTGTGTAGAGATCTTTTTGTTGTTGTTGTTCTTTTTGAGACAGGGTCTCCCTGTAGCCCAGCTGTCCTGGAACTCACTATGTAGACCAGGCTGGCCTTGAACTCAACTCACAGAGATCCGCCTGCCTCTCCCTCCCGAGTGCTGGGACTAAAGGTGTGCGCCGCCACGTCTGGCAATATAGAGATCTTTTTACCATGTGGATCCTGAGAATCAAATGGGTTATCAGGCTTGGTGGCAAACACCTTTACCTGCTGAACTATCTCACCAGCCCCAAAAATACATTATCATTTCCCTCCCCCGAAATTAATGACCTTTCTCACCTTAAGCCAATTTTCCTTTCTAATAAAACATTGATGGCCAGTGTGGTGGCATGGGCCTTTAATCCCAGCACTTGGGAGACAAAGGCAGATAGAGCTCTGTGAGTTCCAGGCTAGGCAGGACTACATAGTGGGACCCTGTCTCAAAACAAACAAAAAAGCCAACATTGCTAAACACACTTTGATTGCTTAGAGAGAGCATTTGGAATGATTGCCAAGGAGAGAGTGTTCCCTTTGGATTAATTACCTTTAAAAGTCAGAAACTTCGTTCAAGGAAATGATTTTGTTAAAGCATTCTAGAACTTGTTTTGAGGCTTATTCTTTTTGTTGCTGTAAATTTTTTATTGAATTTAAGCCAGGCATGGTGGTGCACACCTTTAATCCCAGCACTTGGGAGTTAGAGACAGTTGGATCTCTGTGAGATTGAGGCCAGCCTGGTCTATATAGTGAGTTCCAGGCCATCGGGGGCTGTAGGGAGACCCTACATGTGTGGTGCACGCCAGCTATGAATCTTTTTCTACTGAGTATGGATTTCCATCCCCAGCACTGAGATAGAGAGAGAGAAAGAGAGAGACTGGAGAGATGGCTCAGTCGTTAAGAACACTGTTCTTGCAGAAGACCCAGGTTCGAATCCCAGCACACACATGGCAGCGAACAACTGTCTATAACTCCACTTACAGGGTATCTGACAGCCTCTTCTGTCCTCCGAGGGCACTGCATGACACAGGTGCACTTACCTATATTCAGGCATAACACTCATACACATAAAATAAAAACAATAAATTTTAAAAAGAGGGGGGGGATATGAAAAATTAATGCATGGCTCATGTCAGGTGTTCATTGTTTATACAATTAATGAATAAAAAAACATGGCTAACAATTTTTAAAAACTAAGAATGATAACAGTTGTTATTCAGATTGCTTTAAAGTGTTAAGACTGATTTTCCCTTTCCCTTGAAGATTAGCTTAAAAGTAAATCTTCAGAACTCCGGAAACAACCTCAGTGGGGATTATGATTCTAATAAACATTTGGTCTCAGAATCGGTGGTAGAGGAACTACGATGAAGGAAGTGAACGAGCTAACCCTCCTTACTTTACACTCCTCTGGGCCATATTCTGCGCCTGTGCACACGGCAGCCTTGATCAGGGCCCTTCCAAAGGGTGAGAATAGGGCCAGCAAGATCGCCCAGCAGCCATCAAGCCTGGTGACCTGAGTTTGATCTCTGAAACCACATGGTAGAAGGATAGACACCTGCAAGTTGTCCTCTGACCTCTACATGAATGCCGTGGCACAGGCACACCCATACACACACACACACACACACACACCAGTCAGCCAGTGTAATAAATTTCAAAGTGCAAATATATTCATCATTTGAAATAAATAGCCTTCCAACTGTAACATGGGGTAATGGATTTGTGTTTGCCTTGCTGGGCTTCCCAAAGCTGCAGTGTTGAAGCATCTGGCACATGCTAGATGCCCAAAAGCAATGGGATTCTGTGCTTCCCTGAGGTTAACACTCATGGTGTCCTTGGTTTCTCTCCAAAAAGCCTGGAGGTAAAGGGAAGCGCCTTCCTGAAGTTTACTGCATTGTGAGCCGCCTGGGATGCTTCAGCCTCTTTTCAAAGGTGAGAACAGGCATGGAGAGAGGGGGAGGGAGGGCACAAGGACCCAGGGAACACCCCAGCTCCTGCTGCATTTCCTCTTACTCCTAGTTATTTTTCTTCCATTTCCTCTCTCTCTCTTCCCCACCCCCTTTCTCATCACTTATCATCACTGGTTCAGGGAAGAAGAGTTGATGAAGGATGAGTCCAGGAAATGAAGAAGATGCCCTTGGCAGCTCACTCCTGTAATCTCAGCACCGAGGAGGCTGAGGCACAAGGATTGCTAGTTATTTCCTGGCTAGCCTGGGTTACATAGAAAGACCCTATCAGGAAAGAGGGGAGTAAGCCAGGCATGGTGGCTCAAGCCTTTATTCCCAGTACTGGGGAAGCAGAGGCAGGCGGATCTCTGTGAGTTCAAGGTCAGCCTGGTCTATATAATGAGTTCCAGGCCAGTTGGATCTCTGTGAGTTCAAGGCCTGCCTGGTCTACATAATGAGTTCCAGGCCAGTTGGGGCTACAGGGAGACCCTGTCTCAAAAAGACCAAAAAAGAAAAGAAAGAGGCGGGTAAGGTCATTGGATTTGAGTAACAGAGGAAGGGGCAGAGAAGTCTGCAAAAATATTTCCTGCCTCCATGTCCAGGTTTTTATGGTGCTGGGGCTTGACCCCAGAGCCTTGTGCATGCTAGGCAAGCATACTGAGCTACATCCTCAGCCTTCTTTATTTTTATCGTTTTAAACATTGTCCTTTGCCCTATTAGTCTTGACTAGAAAAAACCACTGTGGTGTGTGTGTGTGTGTGTGTGCGCGCGCACTGAATGTGTGGCTAGTGTGCATGTATGCAAATTTATCATTTTAATAAGTCAAGCTTTTTATGTTTAGTTTGATGATTCTTTTTTCATTTGTTTCTTTGTTAATTGCTTTTTGTTTTTGTTATTGTTATTGTTGTTTAAGACAAATGTAGCCCAGGAAAATCCCTGGAAGCTTTGAGACAGCTAGCCTGGCATACACAGAGGTAAACAACAAGAGACCCTGTCTCAAACAAGATGGAAGGCAACAACTGACACCGGTCATCCTTTGTCCTCCACACACATGCCCACACTCATACAGTGATGCGCGCCTGCACGCACGCGCGCGCGCGCACACACACACACACACAGTTCAATGACATGATACACATTCACACATATGTAGCCATCACCACTGTCATCTCCAGTTGGCTTTCTTCTTGCAAAATAGAAACTGTGCCTATTAAACACTAACACTTAGTCCAGCAAAATGGCTCCATGGGTAAAGGCGCTTGCCACCATGTCTGATGACTTGAGTTTGATCCCTGGAACCCACATGATGGAAGGAGAAAGCTGACTCCTGCAAGTTGTCCTCTGACCTCCATGTGCCCACACACATACATAGCGCAAGTAAATAAATAAATAAATAAATACATACATACATACACACACACACACACACACACATATATATATATATATATAGAGAGAGAGAGAGAGAGAGAGACAGAGAGGATAGGTAACTTTTTGGTTTTTTGAGGGGGGTTTAATCCAGTAATTCTCCATTTCCCCTTCTCCTGGCTACTCTATGAATTTGATGGCTCTAGGAATTTCACAGAAGTAGACTCTCGTCCTTTTGTGGCTGACTGTAGTTAGCTTACTGTCCTCAAGATTCATTCTTGTTTTTAGTGTCCTTCCTTGTTAAAGCTGTATAATGTTCCACATGCTGTTTATCCATTATCTATTGATGGCGTTGGGTTGTTTCTACCTTTTGGCTATTGTGAAATTCACTGATAGGAACACAGGCGTACGAACAGGTATTTCTCTGTTCAAGACTCTGCTTCCATTCTGTGGGTGTATAGAATCACTGAATTCTGTGGTAATTCTGTATTTAATATTTTGAAACAGCCCTATACTCTATTTTTTTATTTACTTTTATTTTATGTGTATGAGTATATTGCCTGAATGTATCTAAAAGTGCACCCATGCCATGCAATGCCTGCAGAGGTCAGAAGAGGGCATCACATTCCCTGAAAGTGGAGGTATAGATGGTTGCTAACTGCTAGGTGGGTGCTTGGATTTGAACTCAGGTCTTCTGCAAGAGTAACCAGTGCTCTTAACCCCTAAGCCATCTTGCCAGCCCCTCACTTTCTCTTTTTTAAAGATTTAAAAGTTTTTATTTATTTGTATATATGTGTATCTGTGTGTATATATGTCATGCGTAGGGGTGGATGTCTATGGAGGTCAGAAGAGGGCATTGATCCCCTGGAGCTGGAATTATAGGCGATTGTAAGCCACCAGGTGAGGGTTGTGAACTGAACTCAGATCCTCTGAAGGAGCCACAAGTGCTCTTAACCACTGAGCCATCATCTCTCCAGCCCTTTTTGTTTGTTGTTTTGTTTTTGTTTGATCTGGGAAAATTTTTTTGGAATTTTTGGGGGTGTTTTGGGGTTTTGTTTTTTGTCATTGTTGTTTTATTTTTGAGTCATTGTCTCTCTGTAGCAGAACTCCATATAGAGATCAAGCTGGCTTTGAATTCATATTCACCTCCCTCTGCCTCCTGAGTGCTGGGATTACAACTGTGCACCACTATACTGAATGTATTCACTCTTTTGGGGGGGGGCTTTTTGAGACAGGGTCTCCCTGTAACCCCAGCTGGCGTGGATTTGCTATGGAGACCAGGCTGGCCTTGAACTCACAGAGACCCGCTGCCTCTGCTTCCCAAGTGCTGGAATTAAAGGTGTGCGCCACCATGCCCAGTCCTTATTTACTCATTTTTAAGTATACAATTCAGTAGTTTTGAACATATCAGAAAGTAATACAACCTTCCCAGTTGTGGGACATTGTCATCACCCAACACGCCGGTTTTTTCTTTTTCTTTTAGTATTTATTATTTTTATTTTATGTATATGAGTGTGTTGCCTGCACGTATGTGAGTGCACCCATGTCGTGCAATGCCACGGAGGTCAGAAGAGAGCTTCGGATTCCCCTGGAACTGGAGTTAAGGAGGGTTTGTAGCCGCCATGTGGGTGCTGGGAATCAAACCCGGGTCCTCTGCAAGAGCAGTCAATTCTCTTAACCACTGAGCCATCTCTCCAGCCCCTCAGCCTCTTTTCTTATATAACCCAGGACCAACTGCCCAGGAGTAGTACCATCCACAGTGGACTGGTCCTTTCCATATCACTCAGCAGTCCAGAAAATGCCTCACAGACATGGCCAGAAGGTAATCTGATAGAGGAAATGAGTCCTTTGAGGTTCCTTCTTCCCAGGGTTTTTAAGTTGACAACTGAAGCTACCCACACAGGTGTCCTCAGTAGCCTCCCATCTTCTTTTCTCAGACAAGGTCTCTCAGTAAACCTAAAGTTCACTAATCCGGCTAGACTGCCTGGCCAGTGAGCCCCAGGGAATCTATTGTTCTGACTCTCCAGTGCTTAGATTACAGGTGCACACTACCACACCCAGCTTATCACATAGGTGCTGGGATCCAAACTCAGGTCCTCCTGCTTGCACAGCAACCACTCCCCCCACTACATCTCCCCAGCACTGGATATTTTATCTAAATACAATCAGACAAGCCAGATATGGTGGCACGTGCTTGTGATTTGTGTTATCAGCATATGCGAGGTACAGGCAGGATGATCTGGAGCTGGAGGCCAGCCTGGGATGCATGGTGAATTTGAGGCCAGCCTGGGTCACATGAGGCTCTATTTCAAAAAAGTCAAAACATAAAAATTTAAAAATTAAATTAAAAAATGGAATCATGGGGGCTGAAGATGGCTCAGCAGCTAAGAGTTCTTGCTGTTCTATCAGAGGACCCAGGTTCAGTTCCCAGCACCCATGTGGTGGCTAATAACCACCTGTAGATCCATTTGCAGGAGATCCAATGACCTCTTCTGGCCTCTGCAGGCAGTGCACACATGTGGTTCACTTGTATACATGAAGACAAAACTCTCATACACACCAAATATAAAAATAAAGAAAATATTTCTTAAATGGAATCATAACATGGCTTTTTTTTTTTTTTTCGGTCTTTTTGAGACAGGGTCTCCCTGTAGCCCTAGCTGGCCTCAAATTCACTATGTATCCCAGACTGGCCTGGAACTCACAGAGATCCACCTGCCTCTGCCTCCCGAGTGGTGGTGAGTACGCCACCATGCCCAGCTCTACAGCTTTTGTATCTGGCTTCTTTCATTTAGCATGATGCTTTCGAGGCTCACACATGTAACATACACCAATACTACCTATGACTGAGTAGAATCCAATACACCATGTTTTTAAAAATATTTTTTCTATTATTTGTATTTTTATGTGTATGAGTGTATTGTCTGCGTATTTGTAAGGACACTCATGTTGCGTAGTGCCCACAGAGGTCAGAAGAGGGTGTCAGATTCCCTAGGAACTGAATATATGAATGGTTGTTAGCCACCATGTGGGCGCTGGGAATTGAACCCAGGTCCTCTGCAAGAGCAGCCAGGGCTCTTTACCACTGAACAATCTCTGCAGCCCCCAATTTGCCATGTTTTATCACTTCATCAGTTAATGAACATTTAGGTTATTTCTACTTTGGACCATTTACAATAGTTCTGAGCCAATAAGATGACTCAGCAAGTTAAGACAATTGCCACCAAGCCTAATAATGTGAATTTGATATCCAGGACCCACAAGGTAGAAGAGAACTGACTTCCTCAAGCCATCCTCTGACCTCCACACAAACCAGATGGCATGCATATGTGCACACATACACAGAATAAATAAATAATGCAATTTTTTTTTTTTTAAAAAAAAAAAAATTGCATTATTTATCTCTGCGAAGGCAAGGACAGCCAGGTCTACATAGTGAGCTCCAGGACAGCTGGGGCTACAGGGAGACCCCGTCTCAAAAAGACAAAAACAAAAAAAATTGCATTATTTATCTCTGCGAAGGCAAGGACAGCCAGGTCTACATAGTGAGCTCCAGGACAGCTGGGGCTACAGGGAGACCCCGTCTCAAAAAGACAAAAACAAAAAAAATTGCATTATTTATCTCTGCGAAGGCAAGGACAGCCAGGTCTACATAGTGAGCTCCAGGACAGCTGGGGCTACAGGGAGACCCCGTCTCAAAAAGACAAAAACAAAAAAAATTGCATTATTTATCTCTGCGAAGGCAAGGACAGCCAGGTCTACATAGTGAGCTCCAGGACAGCTGGGGCTACAGGGAGACCCCGTCTCAAAAAGACAAAAACAAAAAAAATTGCATTATTTATCTCTGCGAAGGCAAGGACAGCCAGGTCTACATAGTGAGCTCCAGGACAGCTGGGGCTACAGGGAGACCCCGTCTCAAAAAGACAAAAACAAAAAAAATTGCATTATTTATCTCTGCGAAGGCAAGGACAGCCAGGTCTACATAGTGAGCTCCAGGACAGCTGGGGCTACAGGGAGACCCCGTCTCAAAAAGACAAAAAAAAAAAAAATGCAATTTTTTTTTTTTTAAAAAAAAAATTTATTATTTTTATTTTTTATGTGTATGAGTGTATTGCCTGCATGTATATAAGTGCACCTGTGTCATGTAATGCTTTGGAAGGACAGAAGAGGCCGTCAGATCCCCTGGAACTTGGGTACAGACAGCTTTCAGCTACCATGTGGGTGCTGGGATTCGAACCCCGGGTCCTCTGCAGGAGCAGCATGCTCTCAACCGCTGAGCCACTTCTCCAGCCCCTCTGTTTAATCTTTTGAAAAGCTGTAGGCTATTATCCCAAGTGGCTTGATTAACCAAGCATGATGGTGCACTTGGTGCTTGCCTTTAATCCCAGTACTCAGGGGATACAGGCAGGTATCTCTGTGAGATCGAGGCCAGCCTGAGCTACATAGCAAGTTCCAGGGCAGCTGGGGCTACAGGAAGACCCTGTCTCAAAAAAACCAAACAGCTTGATTATTTTTTATTCCCACAAGGTCAAGTGTATGAAAATTCCAATTTCTCAACTTCCTTGCCAGCACTTGGTTGGTTTGGTTTGATTTGGTTTGGTGGGTTTATATAAGTTTTTCTACCAGCCCTCAGAGCCAGTTTTTACCCACTTGGGGCCAATATTGTTCCTATTAAGGTGACATAAACTAGCTAGGTGTTGTGGTGCATGCTTGTAACCCTAACACTTGAGAGGTGGAGGCAGGAGAATCAAGAATTCAAGGTCATTTTGAGCTATACAGTAAGTTCTTGGCCAGCCTAGGCTATGTGAGATCCTGTCTCAAAATTGAAAATGAAAAAAAAAAAACTGGACATGGTGGCCCATTCCTTTAGTCCTACCACTCAGGAAGCAGAGGCAGGCAGATAGATCCTCTGTGAGACTGAGGCCATAGGGAGTTCCAGGCTCGCTGGGGCTACAAGAACACCATCTCAAAAGACCAAAAACAACAACAAAAAGAAAATTGAGAGAGACCTATGTTGAGTGAGGCCTGGTGATGCATGCCTACAATCCTAGTACTCAGGAGGCTGAGACAGAAGGAGGATTGCCACCAGTGTGCTACCCAGCAAGACCCTATCCCAAGAAAGAAGAGGAAGAAAGGAAAGAGGGAGGGAGGAAGAAGAAAAAACATAAGAAAGAATGTATATGTTAAGGTGTGGGGATTCTGGTTTCATTCTGTTGCTGTCATAAATACTCTGGCCACAAGCAACTTGGGGACAAAAGGGTTTATTTGACTTACACTTCTCGATCAAATCAATCATGGAGAAAAGTCAGAACAGAAACTCAAGGCAGAAACAAGGTCTTACTACGTAGCCCTAGCTAGCCTGGAGGTATCCACACAGACCAGACTGGCCTTGAAATCACACCGATCACCTACCCCTTCCTCCCGAATGCTGGGACTGAAGACATGCATCACCAGGCCTGGCCCATCTCCCTAATTCTTCGGGTAACATGGCAGACCCACTCCACCAGAAGTCAGCACACCTTGGTTCCCTGACTTCAGAACAGCTGAGCTGCTTTTCTGACCTTCGCAGATCTTGGATGAGGTGGAAAAAAGAAGAGGCATCTCTCCTGCTCTGGTGCAGCCCCTCATGAGGAGCGTCATGGAAGCCCCTTTCCCATCCCTGGGCAAAACCATCATTGTCAAGAACTTCCTGCCAGGCTCAGGGACTGAGGTAAGCCATCGGATTCCTTTCTCCTCCTGATCCAGCCAGCCAAGTTCTCATGGTCAGAAAGGCTGTCTGTGTGGCCGGGCGTGATGGCCATGCCTTTAGTCCTAGAACTCAGGAGGCAGAAGCAGGTGGATCTCTGTGAGTTCTGGGCCAACTGGCGTTACAGGGTGACCCACCAATTCATTGGTGTTCACCCCATACCTTGAGTGGACCAGATCCTCATAAGCTCCATGCTCAGTCCAATCCATCCAACCTGGGTTCTGCTCCAGGAGCAACTCACAAGATCCATACTGTCACTACATGGTGTTGCGTTGTCTAATGTTGGCCTCACAGCTCAGGGATATGCATTGTGCATCCTTGGTGAGGCTGGGACTTGAGCAGAAGCTTGTTCATCCTACTCTTTTCCTTCATATGGTCCTATGGGTCCCCGCTTTAAACCAAGTTGTTCCAGAGACAGAAAGGATGAGGATGCCCCAGGAACATACTGGAATAACCCAGTTTCCCAGCACAGAACAGTTGCTCAGAACCTCAAACCAGATGCAGTAGTCATGGGGATATAGCAGGAAGTTAAGGGGGTGAGAGCCCCAGCAAGGAAGAGCCCTCAGCAGGTGCTTTGCTGGGAGCAAAATCTAGTCTCCACTCACCTCCCTGTGAAGGAGTCAGTTCTATACAGGGAAGAAGCATACACATGCAACTTGAGATAAATTCAGGGACATTTTAGCAAATAAGGAATGATAAAGACAGCAAGTTTAAAAATTAAAAAGGCAGGCTTGGTGTCGCTCGCCTTTAGTCCCAGCACTTGGGAGGCAGGGGCAGGCGGATCTCTGTGAGTTTGAGGCCAGCCTGTCTCCATAGTGACTTCTAGGCCAGCTGGGGCTGCAGGGAGACTGTGTCTCAAAAAGACCAAAAAAAAAAATTAAAAAGGCACATGAAAGTGATTGGCACCAACCAAGTGTGTTGGTACTCGAGTGTAATGAAGGCCAGCCAGGCTACATTGTGAGTTTGAGGCCAGTCTGGGCTACACAAGACCATGTATGGTCCAGGGATCCCTTCTTTCCATCAGTAACAGAGATGGAGAGGGTTTTCTCCAGGACTCTGAGGGCTAGGTCAGTTTTCAACATAAAATCATCTGGGGGAGTCCAGGTATACTCTTCCTGGAGGAGCCTCCTGATGTGGTCAGGAGCCATGGATTGTGCCTTCCACTGTCCTTGTCTCCTTCACTCCTCACACTCTCCTCAACTGAGTATGACATGCTTGCTTTCCTACCACACGTGCCCCTCCTTTCCCAGGCTCCTGGGATCTTTCTTTCCCATCCCTTTTGTTTTCCTCCTTTTCCTTTCCTTTTCTCCTGTCATTGGGTAGCTCCCAAGGTCTGTACCACTCCAGCCTGCCTTCATAGCCGCTCCTGTTCCCTGGCAGGTGATCGAGCTGTGCCGCCCTCTGGACTCCCGGCTCGAGCATGTGGATTTTGAGTCTCTCTTCTCCTCCCTCAGCGTCCGACACTTGGTCTGTGTTTTTGCCTCCCTGCTTCTGGAAAGGAGGGTCATCTTCATTGCAGACAAACTCAGGTACCAACCTTGGCTACTTCTGCTAATGTATGTGGTCTCTCAAGGCGTAGAGCAGGCAACTGACTGCTTAGGGGTGAAGGCTGGGTTGCTGGAAGATGAGGATAACCTGGAGGTTTGTGAGGCACAGGGTGTAAAGCAAGGTAGGGTCGGCACACTGCAGGCCTCTTGGGTATTTGACTTGTTTTCCATGTGTTCAGCTGTGAACTAGGCACTTTGTTATACGTGAGGGAAACATGAAAGATGTGTAGACTTGACCTCCAGAGTTCTCATTCCACTGGGCAACCAGGGAATAAGTAGGACCCGTGGCACCATGTTGAAAGAGGTTGTTGGAAACAGTGATTTTGGGACATGATGAAGGGCACTCATCTCCAAGGCAGGGCAGATTCTGTCAGTGCTAAGACAAAGAGCAGGTTGAGGGAAGAAGGCACTGTCTATGCAAAGGCAAGGAGACTACACATGTCCACTTTAGGAACTGCAAAATTGGACAGGAAGAGATGAGCAGGAGGAGGGGACCGGACAGATCAGGGAAAGGCTGTGAGGTCAGGTGAAAGAGTATAGATTTACCCATGGAATCCCTCTGTCCATAAAGCAAATCACACATATACACACATACTTACTGGCCTTGGGATGCCACCCATATCCTGATAGTCACATTCTGTGATTCAAAAAGGCTATGTCACAGATCACAAGGAAATACAGGTAGGGACTGAATGGATTCTGAACTTCTAGCAAAGGAAGAATTCCTTGCATTTTTACCATTTCAAAACACTGACTTGACTCCCCTGTGAGATGAAGATGCTTGTCACTAAGCCTAATGACCTGAGTTCAAGTCCCAGAATAGGCATGGTGGAAGGAGAGACCAAACTCCCCGCAGGCTGTCCTCTGACCTCCATATGCACGCTGTGGCAGGCGCTCGCCACATGCACACAAAATACACAAATGTAAAAAAAAAAATTTTTTTTTTCAAAACACTGGCTCAGAGCCCTCTTAGAACAGGGCAAAGGAGCATGTGTGGTGACCACTACTCCAGTAAGGGCCAAGATATGGGGGCCACCAACTGGCTGAGGCAGTGGAGGCCTCCTGAGAAGTTTATCTGGGAAGATGTGCCAGAGGCAAACCAAAAAAGCGGCACTGTCTGGTTTGGAAAGGAAATGTGACTGCACTGGGGAGAACAAAGAGGAGGAGGAAGAGGGATAGAAGAGAAAGGACTAGATGTTTCAACATGGAATCCATCATGGGGCGTGGGAGGAAGCGGCATCTAGCCCTGCCCTCCACTGCAACCATCTGGTCACCTTTATGATGTTCCTCTTTGGACAGTTGCCATCTGGCTCCTCCATGACTGTCCCCACCCTATGTCTGAGCTCCCTATTCACTTTTAATGTCCCAGTTACTGTGTTCCCTGTGCACTTCCAGCAGCTCAGGAAGCAGGCCCTGGCTTCAGCCTGCAGCTGGTGCTGGGCGCTGGGCAGCACTCCAAGCTTCCCGGGCACTGGGGAATTCAGACAGAGTTCTCAAGGTTGGGGCCCTGGAAGCTAGGGATGAGTAATAACCCTTCAGTGACCAGGATCTGGTTTCATCTGTTTCTCCATGCTCTGGAAGGGTCCACTCTGCCTCCAAGAGTCCCTTACCCTCTTAGATTCTCAGGCTTGGACTTGGGGAGGGGAAAGATGGATTTCAGTAAGGCTTAGGCAAGAAAGGGAAGGGCCAGCTGAATAAACCTAGCACCGGCCAGAAGCAGAGCTTGGGATAGCCCCTAGAGAACCTGCTTCAGGGTTAGACTTAGGGAGGCCAAGCTGGAGAACATGTCAGAAAATATCCCTTTTCTGGTCAGAGTACAATGAGAGAGACAGTAGGAACAGGCAGGGAGAGGGGACCTTGCTGAAGACAAATGTCTGCCTAAAGGCTCAGCGTGTCAGGAAACTTGGGGAAATGGTCTACAAAGGTGGCTAGAAGAGGTTGCAACCCCTGCCTTTCCCCTGGACAGATTTCTGAGTGGGCAGACTAGACCCTGGCCATCTCTTTACACAGAGCTGCTGTCATGAAAGACACAGGAGAGGTGAATGAATCCCAGGCTTTGCTCTGGGGCCTCAGCTAGTTCTGTCCTGCTCCCTGTCCTGTCTGGGCAGCTTTATGGAGGAGGAGAAGAGAGCCTTTGGAGTTTCTCTCCTCACCCCACCTTCCATGGGGCCTGGCATTCTGCCCTTGGCGATGTAGTCCCTTCAAACAGCACATGCCAGGGAAAGGGGCAGTTAGACCTCTCCCTGTGGCTGGTGCTGGTAGTTCTCAGCAGGGTGTGTGCTGTCTTCATGTGGTTCTTTTGTAGCAGATGTTGGATGTTGTAGAGAGGAAAGGGCAGCAGGAATATGGCTAATTTTTATATCCTCTTTGGGACCAGAGCCTGGCTATGTATGTATGTGTATAAAATACCTTAATTGCATTATTATTTCTTATTTTTGAAGTAGTGTCATGTATCCTGGGCTGGCATGATCTTGAACTTCTGGCCCTATTGCCTCTACTTCACAATTGCTGGGGTAATACAGGCATGCCTGACCACGCCTGGTTCCATGTAGCATGGAACACAGGACTTCATGCATGCTGAGTAAGTACTCTGTCAACTGAGCTATACCCCCCCCACCCTCAGCCTTCTAATTGTACTTTAGGCCCTTAACAACTTCTACGCATGCACATCCCCCCCTCTCATCACACTGGGAGACTTTCCCAGAAGAGGGAGGACCCTAAAGACTCAGCCCTTAGTCCTGCATCTCCACATTCATGAGGTATACAGGTTTACTGAACCAAGGCCCCTGCAGTCTCTACTTTCTGAGCTCTACTGTCTTCTTTTCCCTGCAGGCCGCTCTTTCTGCAACACATAGCTTAATGTGTTCTCTCTCTTGGCCAATAAATTACTTCTTGCTAGTACACCAGTCTTATGCATACCTAAATAGATGATTGAATAGTGGCCCACAGAGCTCTGAGATAGGAAGAGAAGAAAACCAAAAAGCGTTGCAATCTTAATAAGAATAACAAACACAGAGACTAGGGATATAGCTCAGTTGGTAGAATGCTTACCTAGCGTGTAGGAAGCCTTGGGTTCAGTCTTTAGCATCACATACAGCTGTGGTGGCACACACCTGTAATCCCAGCCCTCTGGAGATAGTGGTAAAAGGATCAGACGTTCAAGGTCATCCTTGACTACATAGAGTTTGAAGCCAACCTGGGCTACACAAGATCCCGTCTCAAAAACAGTAAGTGAAAAATAGCTTACGAACTGAATGTACAGTGCTGTGCTAGGCCACTCTCAGGTCTGACCTGTGTTCTAGCCTGCCCACAGTCATGTCAGACGGGTACCCTGGTCAGGACCCTGAAAGGCACAGAGGTTCAGTCACTTTACTGAAGGAAGGCACTAAGAGAAGACAGTGAGGGAAGCTGTGAACTACAGTGATAGGGAGGAGGTAACAAGGTAGAGAATCTTGGGCCTTGTGTAGCCATAGACATGTAGGAACACCTTTGTCAAGTAGGCCATTAATTTCCTTCATGAGCTGGACATGGTACATGCCTGCAGTTCTATCACTCGGGAGGCTGAGATAGAACGATTTTGAGTTTTGGGCTAGCCTGGTCTACATAGCAATAGCCTCTCTCAGAAATTAAATAAAATAAGACTCCTTTGTGTTCAGTTGTGGCTAAGAAAGCTAGGTGTCTCTCCTCAGAGCCCTCCCTCAGCAGCCGTTGGCCTTGCACAGGGCCCATGGTGAGGTGGGTGTGACTAGGAGACCTCCAGTCCTCCTGGCACCATGTTCCATGAAATTCTCTGGCTCATACATGGCCAGGTGGCAGAATGGCAGAGTGCATCCATTTCTATTTGATTTATGGACCATAGGGCATTGAAGGGTTCTCGGCCAGGCCTTAACAAACAAGAGCTTAAGGGACAGGAACTGGTTGAAAGTGTCTTACCCTGGAAGAAACTGAGAAGAAAATAATCACCCTAAGTTACAGCTGCTGCCCTCACTGTGATGCTCTGTCCACAGCACATGTCTGGATTCCCAGTCCTGTTCAGTGGAAAGCAGAAGGAAGCCTCCATAGCCTCCTATTTCTTTGTGTGTCCCAATCTTAGTGAGGCCACAGAGTAGAGCATGAGAACAGGATGTGTCATAAACCCAGCAAGTGGCCTGTGACATCCCTGGGTGGGCCTTAGCCTGCCCCCAGTACTCTCCCCCACATGAACAATTTATTTACTCATCTTTGCTGGGGAGTCTGCCCACTACAAGAGGAAATTGCAGGGAGTTGTGGCAAATATTGTATGAGCTACAAAAGGGTTTCAAGTTGAGCCAAAAATCTATCAAATTTAAAATAACATTTTTGCTCTGTTTCATCTTTAGGGTGGACATTGAGTGTTTCTAAAGGCTCTGTCAAGCCTAAGTTTGACAGATGGAAGAAAAAGAATGCTGTTATGATGGCTTGTTCTGTCACCATAGCAACCCAGATAAATATTTTCCTTTCAATAAACATTTTGTTTTTTGTTTACTAATTTCAGTTCCAAAAAGCTTTGGCTAAACCTATAGACCAGGCTAAAGTGTAGCCAGAGTTGCATGTAAACAAATATATACAAAAGTATTAGATGCTGTCTTAGTTTGTTTCTCCATTGCTGTGACAAAATACTCTGACCACTACCAACTTGGGGAGGAAAGGGTTTATTCAGTTTATATCTCCCAGGTCACAGTTCATCCAGGAGCCCAAGGTAGGAACTCAGGGCAGGAACCTAGAAGCAAGAGCTGGAGCACAGGCCATGGAGGAATGCTGCTTACTGGCTTGCTCCCCTGGCCCCTGCTCAGCTTGCTCTCTTATCCAACACAGGCCCACCTGCCCAGGGGTGGCACTACCCACAGTGGGCTGGGCCCTCCCACATCACTCAACAGTCAAGAAAATGCCCTACAGATATAGCCACAGGCCAGTCCAATAGAGGCAGTTCCCCAATTGAGGCTCTCTCAACCCAGGTGTGTTAA